ATCACCCCAGAAGTCAGTCCCACATCCAGGGCCGTATCAAGGCATTTGGGGACCAAGGTAAATATAGGCTTGGAGCCCCCACCACCTCACTCCCTGCTCAGTTAATATAAGATGGCAGCGTGCTGAGAGTACAGATTGTTGTTGCTTTTATTTAATAAACAATCATTTTAAAGCACTGTTTTATATCTGACTGTTTTTAACAGCAATCCTAGCTCAGACACCACATCACTTTCCACATATATGTCATGAGCTCACTGAGCGCCAGATTACCAGATTCATATTGAAGTTGTTTTGGTGAAAGTAACTTCAAGTAATGCAAAAGTAGTGTAATGACTTACATTTTAAAATCAGTAATATTGTGATGTAATGAATTACTTTAAAATGAGGGTAACAAGTAATAAATAATGCATTACAGTTTTGAAGTAACTCGCCCAACACTGAAGATGAATTCTCACGAGATTTGGAGTTTTCCAAACGCAGGAGATCACGAAATGTGTAGACTCGACACGGGGTGGGGATACACTAGATCTGGTTATTATGTCAGGTTATTACAGGTGTGGTCCATCACTAAATGAAACTAATCAGCTGTGTTCATGATCTAAAACATGCAGGAAACATGCCGGAAGCAGACTACAACTCTGGCATGTCAGCTCCATCAAGTCTGAAGTTGGAAGTGGAATATTCTGGGGGCTGGGTGGCCTTTCATTAACCCTGTAAAAGGTCAGGTTAGCACACACTGACTCAAGAAAATTATTTAAATATGTGAAAAAGTAGCAAAATTTCCTTTTGATTTTTTTTTGTGTCAGAGGAATTACACAAACTGCAGCAAGACAACTTTTCAGAAACGCTGAGCTGTGGAACTAGGTCAGATCTAAATTTGGTTAAAGACTAGCTTTGTCTTATTTTTATAAACACATTCAAAGACAACTGTAGCTGGCAACACTCTGTTCAGTCTCTTCAACATGAACATTTATGGATATTAAATCTGCAGCTTCTCCTAAACAGAAACATGTTTTGAAAGACTGGACTAACAGAAGTAAAGCTGAGCATTAAGACACTGACAGCGAACAAACAGGTACAAAACTAATAGACTCTTTGTTGTTTATTGTTGGATGAGAAAGAGCCGCTCAGCTTATTCTGATGGAGACAAAACAGCAAAAAGAGAGAGAGAGCTCAGAAGCACGTCAAAAGACAGCAGATGAAGATGGATGTGTGAAACTGTTGGTAAAACAAGCAGCATGTCAAATCCAGATGGATAAATAAGCAGATTAAATGAGGCATGGAGGTATATGATGGTTAAAACAAGTCATAGAATCAGATTTACTCACATAAAAGAGGGAAATGGTAAAGGAGCAGCTGGATGAAGATAAAAAACTAATGCAGAAAGAAGTCTGACAGAGAAGCAGATGGAAGGACAAAAGCAGAGAGACTGGCAGTGACACGAAAAAGGCGGGGCAGAGTAGTAAAAGGTCAACGCTCCCGTGATAAGGCGTGCTGAGACAGCACGCTCGCAGTAAGCGGCCGAGTGCTTGTCAACACGATACTGGTGCACTTCACCGACCACGGTGTACTCAAAGCAGCGAACCAGGATGAAGACGTCAGTGAGTTAAGACTCTTTAAAAACACGAAGGTAACTCAAGCTAAAAGACCACAATTTTGTAAAAAAGCAGAGAAAGTTTAGATTTGCACACCTTAAATCTGTAGTTGCATGTGTGGATTGAGAAGTCAAGTGAGGAGGACGGACTTGGCCGCAAATGATAAATTTTGCAAGCCTCCTCAGCGGTAGAGCGTGCGTCAAAGCCAAAAATAAAGGCAGGCAGTCAAACAAAGCAGGATTATCACATTCAGGGCAGAACCAAAGTCCAAAGAGCTTCATCGTTGTTCAGTTACCTAAAAACAGCGCGTCACTCACCTTAGTGGTCTTTCTGAAACTCTGCAGGACAACAGGAGGCTGAATCAGCATTGTAAGGCAGTACTGTTCTGTTAGAGTAATATCATTAGAACAGATAGTATTCTGTTCCTTAGTTTCTTTTTCAACACATTCAGTAAAACTGTCCATCAGCTGCACTCGTCCCTATAAAGGCTTCAGTAGATACTCATAGCAGGAACATTGTTGCTGTGAGATGCCGCCAAGAACTTTCAGACTGTTTTACTTTAGTCTTTCATGTTTGCTGGAGCTGTTGACCGCAGAGTTGTCACTTTTAACATGTGAATAAATATGCGCTGATGTATTAGTAACTCACTATTCTCTGACCAGTCATTTGTCTGACTGGCATCTCTGAATAAACTCTAGAGTCTCACGCATAAACAACTTGATCATTTCTGCCAGCCTTTTCCTGTGTGTACATGTTTAATACATTTAGTGTGTGTGTGTGTGTGTGTGTGTGTGTGTGTGTGTGTGTGTGTGTGTGTGTGTGTGTGTGTGTGTGTGTGTGTGTGTGCGTGTGTGTGTGTGTGTGTGTGTGTGTGTGTGTGTGTGTGTGTGTGTGTGTGTGTGTGTGTGTGTAACAAAAAACATGAGTCACCACATTTCCCTTGTGCGCCTGTGTGAAGCTGCACATTTGTCTCAGTCAGTGCAGTATGTGTTTATTTGTGTCCATGTGTGTGTGTGTGTGTGTGTGTGTGTGTGTGTGTGTGTGTGCATGTGCATGTGTGTCCCCTATGGCTTCTATCTGTGGGAGCACGAAGATGAATGGAGCCCCATGAAGCAATGTTGATTACACAGCCTCTTTGCTCCGTCCTTCGTCTTTCTTCTGCACAAAAAGCAGGAGACCCAAACAACAGGAGCAAGGTGTGCAAAGGATGGAGGTAGAAAGAAAGCAAACTTTCCACATACCTTTTCTATCGTTCTGTTTTATTTTTCAGGTTCATAGAAAAAAAAGTAAGAATTTTTCTAAAAATAACAAATGCAAAAAAAAAAAAACAACCTTTAAGTTCTGTTCCATAAACTGCCAGAAGTACTTCACCAGGGGCCGTTTTAGCTCTGAAGGACAGTTATGCCACTAAACATGTCACAATGGGCAGGTTTAAAGTATCCAAAGTAAGAAAAACAATAAAGGAAAATGAATAATGCTATAGCACTATGTTTGGTTGGAGCACCTTGCCCAGTGACATTGTTGAAGCAAACAGTTGATACCATGAAGTCCTGCTTATTCGCTTATCCAGGGTAGGTCACGAGGGCATTATCCTAAACGGGGAGGCCCAGACTTCCCTCTCCCCAGCCCAGTCAACCCCTCCAGGGGAATCGTAAGATGCTCCCTGGCCAGCCGAGAGACATAGTCCCTCCAGCGTGTCCTGGATCTTCCTTTAGGTCTCCCCCTGGCCGTGCTTATCAACATAAATAATAATAATAATAATAATAATAATAATAATAATAATAATAACAATAACAACAACAACAACAACAACAATAATAACAACAATAACAACAATAAAAATAATAACAACAGCAATAATAATAATAATAATAACAACAACAACAGCAGCAACAACAACAATAATAATAATATTTCAATGATGAATAAAGGCTTTCTAGCTTCTTTAGTATGAAAGGGTCCAGTTCTTCAGCAGCAGCTGACAGACTCCCTCTTTTTACCTTTGACCTTTTAATTTAACTCACAACTGTTTAGTCATGCGACCCTTTCAGGTTTTTTATCATAATATTTCTAGTTGTTTGCTTTTATTCTTCATCCAGTAGGAAGGTGGGAGTTTCCCAGCTTCTTGCGTGCGTCCTTGACATTGTCGGTTTTATTGACCGACATCCTCGAGGTGAAAACGTGCCTCATTGTAATTAATCTGATTTTATTTTGTACTTGATTCTTATTTGAAAGCGGTTGTGATCAGAGCCATACGCAGACAGACCCCATAAACTTACCCTGCCCTTCACTGCCTCATCTCTTTTCTAGCCACGCCCAGATTCCCTCATCCTCATTTTGATTGGTCCATTTGCCACCAACAGCCAGCTATCTCTCCCCTCTGCTTGCCCTCCTCCCTTTCTCTCTCCTCCATCCTCCCTCCCATTCCCCCATTCTGTGTCTGTGCCGCTCACCAGTGAATGAGTCCGCCCAGACCCAAGCTGTGCTACCGTGCAGCCTCTTCCCTCCTACCATCTCTGATCCATTTCGTCCTTTTGGCGTCTCTGGAGCAGACAGAGGAGCAGCAGCACGGCAACAGGGCCACACAGGACTGACGAAGGCGAGGAGAAGTCATCAAACCTCCCTGAGAGCAGCACCAGCTTGTGAACATTTCCAACAGCAGCAGACACATCAGATGTCAAACACTTCCAGGCAGGAAGAGATGCAACAGATTGTCCTTCAGTTACAACTGTTGCTGAAGCTGATGTTGCTCCACCTGATAAGAGACGAAGCGGGCATCTACGGGTTTTTAAAAAGAAGCTTTTGCACAAAGAGGAACTAACAGTGGTGAACGACAGGAGCAGAGTCTTTGATTCATCCAGGAGGACAGCACAGCTCATGCTGGGTGTGAACATCACCACCACCATCTCCTCCTTCAGCAGGATTCAGAAGCACCCGACTGTACGGGCAGAGGGAGGATGCTAGACTGACACATAGAGTTGGCAGAGTCCTGAATGAAAAGAGGAAAATCACGTCTGAATGTTATTATTACGATGCAGGTAAATTCCACCAACAGGTGCCAGTAGATCCAGCAGGCTCTGACTTCTGAGGACCTTGGAGGAGTGAAGAGGAAGATGTGGAGAAGGTGCTAATAAACAAGAAGCCTAGAACACAAGAAGAGATGATGGAGATAGAGAGGTGCTACCCTGCTGCAAAAGGTCAAAGATAGAAAAAGCATACTACACAAAAAAGTAAGCATCTTGTTACAGTCGCTTTTTGGGGGATGTTTTTGCACCTGTGGAGTCTGCATCTTGTCTGACATACAAAAATATTCAGAAGCATAAAAATATTTCCTCCCAGTCAGCTTCAGCTCCAAACTCTGGAGTTTGTGCACCGATCTGAGTCGGCGCATTGGCACTTTTGTTTGGACTCTTCATTCTGGGGTGAGGTGGATCTGCCGTGGGGGGCAGCTGACAGCCATCCAAGACGCCGCGAGCCGTACTCCGCGTGAAGAATGCCCAGCCGCGCTTGGCCAAGCCGGCCGACCCGGGCCCGACACCGGGCCTCTACATGGAGAGATCACAGAGCCGCATCAGCCTGTCGGCATCCTTCGAGGCCCTCGCCATCTACTTCCCTTGTATGAATTCCTTTGATGAGGATGATGGTGGTGAGTGTGAACACACACACACACACACACACACACACACACACACACACACACACACACACACACACACACACACACACACACACACACTACTGCCACAAGATTGATGGATCCATTCAGAAATGTGGAGCCATGGGGCAAAGGTTGTTCTTCACTTGTCTGCTGGAAAACCAATAGCTGCACAAGTCTACCAACAACACGTGCACATCAGATTAAATAACTTGCATGATGTGTACGTTTGCTAAATATTAGTTTTCTAGAGTGCTATTTTAAATCTAGATCATGAGCTTGACAATAAACTGGTTTGGATCCACAATGTGTGATTTGTCAACTCGGAAATAACAGTCATGCTGTACAGATCCTGAATGGTCTTTGAACAGTTGGCTGCACACGCACACGCACACGCACACGCACACACACACACACACACACACACACACACACACACACACACACACACACACACACACACACACACACACACACACACACGCACACACGCACGCACGCACGCACACACACACACACACACACACACACACACACACATAAAGAAACCATAATGGATAAAGACAAAATTATACAAGAAAATTTGTGCATGATGAGCAATTGTCATATTTTCTGCTGAGATGAAAACTTACAAAAATAAAAGTGTTCAGTTTAGTTTTAATTCGTATCAGTGTGTATACATCAGTGTGTATGCATATCAGTGTGTATGCACACTGTAAACCCAAACAAGCAGGCAGAACTCAAAATGTAAGGCAATCAGTTGTCTCATATATTCTGAGTTCCTAAACTCAGATATTTGAGTATATCACAACTTAAATATTTGGAGTTTATATTAAATGTATTTTCAAATTATAATCAAATTAAAGATACAGATTAAGCCAACTCAAACATTTTCAGTACATGTAACTCACAATATTCGTTCATTTTTTTAAGTGTATTAATTCAGGAGAACTTCATCATTTCAAGTATGAAAATTCTGGATTTCATGTTAAGGGAAGTTGAAATCATTAGCTTTTTTTCTTTAAATCTTCCTATTGTGCTAAGCTCAAAAACACTGACTTGCCGTAACTCGTAAATCAGTGTGTATGCATCAGTGTGTATGCATCAGTGTGTATGCATATCAGTGTGTATGCATCAGTGTGTATGCATCAGTGTGTATGCATCAGTGTGTATGCATCAGTGTGTATGCATCAGTGTGTATGCATATCAGTGTATATGCATCAGTGTGTATGCATATCAGTGTGTATGTATCAGAGTGTATGCTTCAGTATGTATGCATCAGTGTGTATGCATCAGTGTGTATGCATCAGTGTGTATGTATCAGAGTGTATGCTTCAGTATGTATGCATCAGTGTGTATGCATCAGTGTGTATGCATCAGTGTGTATGCACCTGTAAACAGCGTGTTTGTGTCTGATTCGGCTGAGATTGTTGAGAGAATCAGGTTTGTCCTCAAAGTGGATGCTTCTGATGATGTAATACATTTTGATCCTGGCTGGAATTATGGCTGTATTATATTTCTCATGATTTCCGGTTGCTCTAATCCCATCTGGAAAACAGCAAGAGTAGATTATTTTTTTCCAGAGCAAACAAAATGAAAGATGAAAACACTCTGTATGTGTACTCGATGATCTTTGGCATGAACGGTATTTTGTGTTGATGAAACTAAACTAATGTTACCGTAATTCAATTATTATGTTTATATCTGAAGATTTTAATATAGCACACCAAGTCAAATGGTTTTAAAAGAAATTGTATTATTTTGGATAACATTAGAATGTACTGATATGGATTTTTATTGGACATGACTTTTGCCAACAATCGTGAGATTATGGCAAGATGAATGGTGCAATAAAAATAACCTAAAGCACAAATAAATATCGCTCAGAGAGGTGCAGTTCAAACACTTACAGTTATTTTTTAAATATTATTTAAAAAGTGACTCACAATAAACATTACCTGCTAAGTTAAAAGAAAATTAACAAATGAACAAAAGCTAAGATGAAAGTACGTTTTAAATTAAAAGTTAAGCATATCTCTGATTGCTTCGACAGTCTTTCATTTTTTATTATTTCAATGTCAATCAATAGGATTGCGTTTGACTTTTCACCTCAGTCATCTTTGATTACACCAATCATAATTTAGATGCCTGCCAGGATGTTTTTATGAGTAATATCGTGCACAAAGTATATTTGATCTATAGAAACTATATTGTTATTATTTATTTATTATTATTTTTTGCTATTATTTGTTATTATTTATCAGATAACACACCTAAAAATAATTTTTGTTATGGGTGAAAAACGGATTCCTCACATAAGCTTTAATTAAAGGTAAAAACTACGTTTTGTATAATTATTGATGGTAAAAGGACATTTTATTTGTTTAGAAAAGGAGCCACAAGAAAAGACTAAAATGTCTGAAATGATGTTTTCCTTCTCCTGTCGATGTTAGACGCTAAAATAATCTACAAAACCCTTCCAACAGTTTTATTTTTGCTACAGGCAGATTTTTCTCAGCTACTTTCTTTTAAAAATAGCATTGTCGCTTTAGAACTGTCAAAGTGAGAAGAAGCTGGATGTTATAAAAAGATCTTCAGGTAATTATCACCTGGATCTGCTGCTCCTCAAGCTCGTTCCAGCAGGAGTGAACTCTGCTCAGACACAGTGGTGAGTGAGTGGTGGTTGCGTAGAGTTTACACAATGTCATGTCAGCACACTCATGCCACACACGTCTCACACACATGGCTCACACACACGTCTCACACACACGTCTCACACACACATGGCTCACACACACGTCACACTCATCCAGAGTTGTAGTTTCAGTACAGCATCTCTATTTCATGTCTAAGGCAGGAAAGTGTCTCTGCAAAAACAGAGGAAGTCATTTGCTGAAGATCATATCGGCGGTTTGCATTTCTCTCTACACTGCAAAGAAATGTCTGTAGATTTACCAGAACTTTAACTTGGGCTTTCCAATGGATGTGTACGCGACGCATAACAGAGGCGTTTCCCCGCGAGCTGAGCCGTCCCTTCCCACTGAGTGGTTTAAACACACATCGGCAGCGAAAGTGTTCCACTCAGCTGGTCTCACGAACGTCACGTGCTTTAGCCAGTCCACACGATAAAAAGCAAGGAGAAAGACTGCAGCTGTATCCAAAAGCCCTGTGGTATTTTTTCATCCTGTATGGCAGCTAGTAGCTGTGTACTACACTTTGCAGGTTTTACACAGCATTTGCAAATTCGGTGGAAACCCCGGGTAAAAGGTGATGAACAATCTGCAATGTGAAAAGCAGCTAATTGATTTTTAAAGCAGAAATGAAGAGTTTTTTTCTCCAAGGGCACATTTATGAGGTGAAAAAATGAATCATACTTTAAGCCCCTCCCCCTTCTTCCATGATTCTGGCTGGAAGCGATGCCTCTTACTCGTGAACGCACACCTCTAGCCGACCAACAAAGCTAAGACACACTGTTTTATACATGTTAGGCGTGTTTCCGGGGTTGGAGCTTCAGGGTAAGTTCTGGGAGGGGAAAGTTGACCTGGAGCAACGATGACCCGGTCCTCTCAGCTGTTGAGTCTCTGTGTGACGATTTTAAAGCAGTGCGACTGGTGCTTATTTTCTTTTGCTTCCATTCTGCCTAACCAGCAACTCTTCTAAAGCCGTCTGCTGATGTCATTATCTACTGAGTTACAACCAATCAGCGTGAGTTCACCAAAAGTTCTGCTCAACTACTCCATCAGGCCATTTTCAGAACCCACCCCTAATCGGCTGCTCTGAAAGATCCTGAAAACGGCCCGACAGTGGAAACACGCCTTTCATTCTCACGCTGTGCTTTTTATTCATATTTTTATTTTTAAGGAAGTACTTGTCCATGAGAATTGTCACAAACTCTACACCAATCCCATGCTCTGTGCTGGACACATGCATGTAAGCGGATGTCTGACGCTATTAGCTCGTTCTGAGCAGAGCTCAGTTTAAACTGCATGGGGGGCTCTCAGGAAATTGTGAGGAAGAAATTTGTCGAGAAAAGATCCTCCCAAGAGCAGGAGACTGAACCCAGGCCGATTAAAGGTCAGACAAAATCTGACCTCTTCACAAGGAGTTTCTGTTTGAAAATCCCCCCCCCCACACACACACACACCCCCACACCAAAAAAACCACACACACACACAACAACATTTAACAGACTTCTTCTGCAACACAAGTGCATACACCCAAAATCTCCTTCATTCACATTGTTTTTTGTTTGTTTTCAGATTTACCACATGCAGGTTTTGAAAGGTCAAACTATACTGTTGCTAATAATAGTTCCTGAATCTGTTTTTTAAACTTATTGATACATTTCACAATACCCATGATGCAATCTGTGCTGCTACAACTAGATCAATCCCGCTGCTGTCACAGAATAAACTAGCTGTCAGTAGCTTCAGCAGATCCCATCATGTTGCTCCTTTAGTGACATTTATTGCGGTGGAATTCAAAACCAGAGTTGGAATTGTTCAAAAATTGTTTTTAATCAACTTTGGTGTGTAACTTTGAATAATAAATTACTATGTAGTTTATAAATACAGAAAATGCAAGGTTATAGAAAACTGGAAGTAGAAACTCCCGTCCTTTGATCGGGTTTGAGGTCTTTTTGGTTTGAGGTCTTGATTCAACACAGATGCAGTTACTCCAGCACAGGCATGTGATTTTAGCTTGAGCCTACAAACACACAGCTGATGCTCCACACTCACACTCAGCCGGTGGACGAGATAATCAGAGCGGAGCGGCAGGCCGTGATTTGTGGCTCTCACACTAATTAAATGCTAATATGGCTGCTGATTGTGGCTGACTGCAGCTAAATAGAAGCCTGATTGCAGGTTAATTCTCACTCTCCTCCTCTCTGTCTCTGTCTCTCTGTCAGGCGTTCGCTCTCTGAGTCATGTGCCCTCCGCAGTTTAAAAATCCTGTTTGCGGGTTAATTCTGTCATTCCTTCTCAAATTGC